AAGAAAGAAAGTTTTAAAATCTGCACGGAAATGTTTCTCCATGTGTGGGGGTAAGGTTGCGTACATTTGAACCTCCCCAACGCCCACAATGGTGGGAGCCCTATGCACTAGTCCGCCCTTTAGTTCTTTATGATAATAGGATATAATGGCGTACACTGAGTTGCAAAGCGAATCATCGTAACCTAAGAGGGTTCTAACTCTGCTGTCTACATCAAGCAAGACAGTAATAGTACGTGTTACCAGAAAAGAACTGAATCATCTACTCATTGTTAAATGGTGTTAATTTAGCATGTTCTGCAGAGAACATACCCCATTTCAGACTACCTGACTCTGAGATTTATAATGTACCGAAAGAGAGCAACTCACCATGATGATAAGGTCACATAAAATACAAATTCATTCTTAACTATACAATTTTGGTACAGAAAAAAAGCTGAGAACACTTATTTAGATTTCTTTTTGTTTTCAAGAAAAAAAAATCTGGAATCTGGATAAGTAACGCATAAAGATGTGAGGTTGTCAAGATAAATAACACAGATTTTTCAGTATAGAGCGCTGAAGCAGGGTAAAATAAATCCATGCAAAAGCCAAAGAAAGATTACCTTGTGGACGAAAATAGTTCCAGCTAGACCTCTACGGCCAGCTATGCCTCTAGGTGGTGGGAGAGCACAGTCATCTCCAACAATAACCATCTGTAAACATAACATTTTTCGTCATATTTGTACTCTGCACTGATTCAGTTTGATGGCTCAAAATATGACTACCTCAATTTTATAGCCTTCAGATTTCGCTTGCTCTGCTGCTAAACCAAAATTAAGTCTATCACCTGTATAATTCTGCAAGGAGCATAAACTACGATTTCATCAGTAACATTATTAAAACAGCAAAAGTATGTCAATCTAATACAGATTAACAAAAACATTAAATAATATTAACTTATAACCAAAATAGTACTACAGAAGCCAAGGTTTCTATGTGTTCCAAAGAACAAGCATAAAAACAATGGTCTCATATTTTTATAGAATGTAGCGCAACTTCAAACGACATGAAGAGACCATGATCAACCTTAAAAGACTTGAACCCAAACAAAAATGACTCCAAGCTTAAACAGAGTTATAGCTACCAGAGTAATGATACCTTGACAATTAGAAGGCATCCCATAGGACCAGTCACAGCTCGGATACCCTAAATATGTCAACTGCGTTAGTCTAAATGAGAAAGTGCATTTGAACTAGTTTATCCAAAAACAAAACAACCATACAGCTAAGATAGAATCGACTGGAGGAGAAGTGAAAACATCCCCACAAATAGCAGCAGTCAGCATTCCTTCACCAACAAATCCAGCATGTGCAGGTTCATGACCACTACCGCCCCCTAGGTTAACGGGACAAGCATTAATAACCGATATTTATGTTTAGTTTAGAGGGAAAAGAACATGATATGACACAAAAATATACTAATCTATGCTTATTTGGAAACAGTAGTGTATAACTGATATATATGTTTAGTTTAGCAGGAAAAGAACATGATATGACACAAAAATATACTAATCTACACTTATTTGGAAACAATAATGTGTATAGAGATAGGGTTATAGCCTGTGATTTGTAAATATATTACTTACACACCATGTACATACTAATTCAGACTTATTTGGAAGCATATAGATCATGTTGTTGGTAGGCATGTCAATGTAAACAAAAAATCCATAGATATGAATATTTTGGGCACATATCAAAAAATTTATTTGGGACAAAAACAACACATGCACAAACTTTATAAGTGCGCATGTGTGTCTTGCAATGACCAATGCATCTCACAATAGAGCCCCACAATCTTATCCCATTAACACCTTAGAGCTTTAGATCTTATGTAACAAGCAAAATCCCCAAGAAAAAGCACTGTGGATTTCACATTTTGAAGTTCCATTATGACTAACAATTTAAATTGTTAGATTTCATCTTCAATTTAGTTGTTTTTAGAAAATTTTGGTAGATTAGGGTAGCTGGAAGTTATTACCTTTTTCTGTAAGATCAAGGTTTTGATGTACCCTCCCATACTAGAGCTTGAAGGACATTAATTGATTGTTAAGTGAGCTGATTTATGTTTCTGACCCTATGATGATCTATATTTCTGCTTTCCCTGCCCATTATCCCTTAAACCAATTCTTAGCTTCATTCTCAATATCTACCAGAACTTTATTCCATTAATTAGCTCATCAAAATTTCTATTACACTAAATGACATTTTCTCAGTGGGCATAGGTACAAAAAGAAAGGTGAAATACAAAGTGCAAAAATTGCGCCCTCATCTTTTTTTTCATAGATCAGCTTTCTTTTCTCTTTATCAATACTTACCCTTGTACAATCTTTAAAAACACTATCATGATTAACAGTATTGTCATTGAATCATGCTCCATTATCATCCACATCTACTCATTTTTCCAATCATATGCTCATTCATCATCTTTAGAGCTCTTAAAAAAAGGAAACTGCATATAGCTTATCCTATGTAGTAACAAAATTGGCAGAAATATGTAGACAAAACAAGTCAAAAAGCCAAAATTTCATATGAACATTTATTAGATAAGATGTCTAGCAAAAATGAGTTCCTGATATACGAGATCTTCTTGTCTAGTGAATTTTTTAAGAATTCAATCAAGTACCTATCTTGAATGAAAAATTAGAAGATATGTGGCTTAAAACTAGTAAAATTTTAAAACAGGTCTCTATATCCTAAGATCAATAGAATGGTCGAGCAAACAAATATAAAGGAAATCAAATAAATGAATACATAGATAAGACGAAAAGGGAAAAACAAAATGGGAGAAAAAAATAGTATACAAAATAGTTAGATCAACATTGGCCATATCACAAAAGGTCTGATGTTTCTTTCATTACACTCGGCTATACTGATTAAGTCCATTCCTGATATGAAATTAATGAATAATCAGTATATTTATTGCTCATAAACCGTTTAAAAATGAACATGGAAGCTCTATATAGATCATAGGACCTTAATTTTTGCTCACATTGTATAACTTAATCATCAAAGTTCTTCAATCTATTGATGCAGAACAATTGTGTGATTAACCACCAGTTTTCCCAGTCACATAAGAACAGACAACGAGACTAAATATCATCAGTTAGTTTATAAACAAGAGCATGGACATCATTGCTCTAAGTTAACTGATTTAATTCATGTACGTAATAGAAAAACGAGAAAATAAATAAAGAAAAGAAAACGAGTGGGGTTGTGATTATCCATACCTGAAATAACTGCAACCTTGTCATAAGTCTCCCCGGAAACATCTGCTCGCAAAACAACCTTAATCTGCATTCCAGTTACAAAATAATATGATTGTCAAACATAAATAATACTAAGCAATCAAAAAACCTATCGACAGTCTTCACCTGTGGGAATCCATCCAAATACTGCAGGCCAGGATAAGTTTCAACAAGACCTTCAATGAACTCAGTCACCACAGCTGCATGCAATCAGAAAAACAATTTACTTTCGTCACTGTATTGACTTATTAAAGATATCTATATAAGAAAATACAGCTAAGAGAATCTCA